ATAGAGGGGTAGCATTACTTCCCTGGACCTAGACACTATTCTCCTATTGATGCAGGCCAAAATCCCATTGGCATTTTTTGCCACCACATCACATTGCTGGCTCATGTTTAACTTGTTGTCCACGAGGACTCCAAGATCTTTTTCACACATACTGCTCTCGAGCCAGGCATTGTCCCCCATTCTGTATCTTTGCATTTGGTTTTTCCTGCCAAAGTGGAGTATCTTGCATTTGTCCCTGTTGAACTTCATTTTGTTAGCTTTGGCCCATCTCTCTAATCTGTCAAGATCGTTTTGAATCCTGCTCCTGTCCTCTGGAGTATTGGCTATCCCTCCCAATTTGGTGTCGTCTGCAAACTTGATGGTCCTGCCTTTTAACCCTTCATCTACGTTATTAATAAAGATGTTGAACAGGACCGGGCCCAGGTGCTCATGGTGCTATGGCTGCCTTCGCTATGGAGCTGCGCTGGCTTCCCCCTCCATGGGAGCAGAGCCCATGATGCTGGGCTCCCCGACTACTCCGAAGCCAGGCGCCGGGGCCCAGTTCCTACCCGGGTTCCTATTGGGGGATTTGCCCACCCCTGCCACGCCGCAGTCTCGCTCCTTAAGCGGCCCTTCTATGCTGGACACAAGATCTCCCTTGGTGGCTGGTGGAACTCCTCCAAAGCCAGTAGTTCCAACTCATAAAGATAAAGGTGGTGCCCCATCAGTTAGAAATATATATGATGAAGTAGTTAGCCCTGGCCTGGGATCAACACCCTTGTCTTCAAGAAGACCAGCCAATTTTTCTGTATTACAGAGCCCAGTTATTGGAGCTATAGCTCACAATCCCGGTTCACTGCACCACTAAGTTGGGAACCTCAACCACCACTTACTCAGCATCTTTTATTGTTCTTATTTTTAAAGTATGTGGAATTCTTGATTCCAGCCCTTTTTCTCACTTTCTCCTTAATTACTTTCACTAGTTTTTTGGCAAGGGAATGTTATTGTCACCCTGGAATCCGGGTTAGAATACAACAATACTGTACATTTTAAAACTCTGAATTCAAAACTAGTGTAACAGTTACAGTAATTCCCAATACCTTTAAAATGTTTCATATCCAAAGGTCTCATTCCACTAGCAGAAAGATGCTGTCTTTATAGACCCCTAGCTGTAGACTAGACACAAGGGGGAATCCAATGCAGTTTTCCAATTGTAAAACTGCATTTTGCACCACCAGTTACACAAATGGTAGCACACAGAGAAACTAAAAAATCTGTCAGGTTTTACAATGTATTGTAATGTAATATAGCTTAGTCATGCACTGCTAATAGGCTTCTATTGGAAATGCTGAGTCATGCGCTAACTGTATATAGAACTTCATTTGGGGAATGTGTTCTGGCCTAGTCCAGGTGATTGTGAATGATGTAATCCTGGGTCTGAGTTAAGTTAATGAGTTGGGAACCAATCAGAGATTGCTATGTGTAATTGTATAGAATTGTATATAAGGAAGTCATGTAGAGTGTATACTCTCTCCTTGTGCTATGATGCTGTTCGTCGAAGGCTCTATGTAATTGATTAAAAGAACCTGTCTGCTAAGACAAGATATAACCGTGTGCTGTGGTAAGTTTGTAGTGTCATCTAGATTGGAGGGGAAAACAATAGTAAAACTGACAATGGCCGGGCATGTGCTCAAGTGCCTCTAAAAGAGTTCCAGAGTGACTGCAGTTTGTGGGAGCAGTTGACTAAAAATACTGTTCAGGAAGAAGCTACTGGAAAGCACTGAAGTTGTGCAACTGATCTGCTGCTGAATTGTGAAATTAATCTCAACAAAATCAATTGGCATTAAGAACTGGAAAGTTGCTTCTGGTTGCTTCTGGATCGAGAGAATCGGCCGTCTACGAAGACGTTGCCCAGGGGACGCCCAGTTGCGAATAGTGAAAGGACCAAGGCAGAGATATCTCCAGCTCATCCCCTGTTTGGGTATCAGCCAGCACGTCAACGACTTAAATCAAGACATAGTTTTCTTAGATCTACAGAGACACTCGCTGGAACACCCCAGCAAGCGAGAGTCCAAAAGTGGCAGGCCCAAACCCAGCACCTCAATCCATGGGTGATACCAGATGAGAGACTCCCCCCTGGGCACTCAGAAGACTGGGCGACTTGGAAGGCGCTGAACAGACTGCGCTCTGGCACCACGAGATGCAGAGCCAATCTTAAGAAATGGGGCTACAGGGTGGAATCCTTGGCATGCGAGTGCGGAGAAGAACAAACCACTGACCACCTGCTGCAATGCACCCTGAGCCCTGCCACATGCACGATGGAGGACGTTCTTGCGGCAACCCCAGAGGTACTCCAAGTGGCCAGATACTGGTCAAAGGACATTTAACCAAATACCAAATTTGCAAAATCTGTGTGGTTTTTTCCCCCTTTTTTTTCCTTTTTCTTTTTAATCTCTGTGTTTGTTTCGCTCTGTTAGAATTGTAATACAATGGTTGCTGATGACACGATAAATAAATACTGGAAAGTTGTGGGCCAGCAGCTGTGAGCCTCAACCATGCAAGTAAATGCTGAAAAAGTTCTATACTTTTCCAGCAGCCCCCATTGCAAGGATCTTTTGTAGCATTAAATCACACTAAAATAATTACAATGGGGCTACACTTGATCCTAAATCTAAAAAGTGTAGCCATATGCTGGTGATAGGAAATCTGTGACAACAATCCTTTTATGATTCAAGGTCCCAAATGTCTTAACTATGTGAACAAAGTGAACAGTCAGCATCTAGGCAAGAGCTTCCGAATGCCCAGTCACTTAGGAAAAAGCTCAACTTAACTTATCTGGTCAACAAAGAAACAAGAATTGGGACTGTATGATATTAAACACAAAATGAAAACAAATTGTTTTATATTAAGCAATCTGCAGAAACATACTCCCATTAAAATATAAAAAGGTTAAAATCAAAGTGTATTCATAGAAATTGAATTGCAACAGCAAAACAGCAGAGAGGAAACAACCAGGCACATTTTAACACCTCTCAACAGAACATTTTCCCAGGCTCAGCCAGGCCTTCAAATGCTAATGAAGGTGGTCAGCTGAAACATTCACACCTAGCTTCAGCAGAGAGCTCTTTGCCCCACCCCAGTCATTCCACAGATATATAAACCCATTTTCCTATTTCCAACAGACCTCCCTACCTCTGAGGATGCTTGCCATAGATGCAGGCGAAACGTCAGGAGAAATGCCTCTAGAACATGGCCCTATAGCCCGAAAAAAACCTACAAGAACCTATTCATAGAAAGCTTAAGAGACATAAAAACGAGTATGCTTTCTTTTTTACATTTGCTCTCTGGATAATTAGTTATATTCTATTTATAGCCGACAGAAGATGTTGATTTCCCCAGAAACATGTCAAAATATACATTTGCTTTTGTCCAAATTGTGCTGATGCAAAATTGGGAAATAACAATTTTCTTCTTCAAAAAATGTTCTTCTTGATATTGAAAATTTTCAGAATTATGATTGTATCCCTATTAAAGATACAGCCCAAATTGTTCCCTAGTATCTTTAAGCCTTGTCATTGCTCCAGCCCTGAGGTTTATTCTTCCTTGCTGTTGTTGAGTGGACCTTTACTTTCCCACTTTCATTTCTTTGTGATCCTTAAAATCATAGAATCATAGAATCAGAGTTGGAAGAGACCTCATGGGCCATCTAGTCCAACCCCCTGCCAAGAAGCAG